TCCAAGCAGTCACTGCAGAGTCGGTAACGACTGAGCGCAGATTAAAAAAAAAAAAATTACATGGTCTCAGAGAGCTTTGAATGCCAGTGAAATGTGCTGCTTTTCTCATGAATGTTTAGTCAGTCATGAAGTGGAAGAGGAAAGATTAACCCCTCCTGAAATCCATTTCCCTCAGATATACCACCAAATGATCTATCATCTGTCTGTCTGTCTGTCTGTCTGTCTGTCTGTCTATCTATCTATCTATCTATCTATCTATCTATCTATCTATCTATCTGTCTATCAAACTTATATGGCCACCTATCTCATATAGTGATCTTGGGAAGCTCACAACAACCAGTAAAAGGTGTAGTAGCATCCCATTAATTTCAGGTTCTCTTGCCTTGTCCGTGTATGGTTTGTTCCAGTAGCTCACTTATCGTCAGATTGTTTTGGTTCCCCAACATCTGGCGTGGACCTTGTTAATCTAGGCAACGTCTGAGCTGGCATGACTCTCTTAGTTCGCATCACTCTTATATCTAAGGTACAGTAGGTAGGTGAAGCTTTAGGGGGTCTTTGCCCAACAACCCCTACTGGTAAGGTAGGTAGCAGCTGGGATTCGAACCCCGGTCTCCTGCATCAAAGGGCGACGCTCTAACTGCTATGCTATCCAGCCACCCCAGATACATATATGCAATAGATGAGATTATATGTAGCTCAGGGTTGAACTGTGCAGTCCTTGGTGCAGATGTTTCATTACCCAACTAGGTAACATTGTCAGTGCTAGTGAGGGTGGGGTTTGCTCCCTGTTTATGTTCAGTAGCTTGCCCTGCCAGTGTTGGTAGGGTTTTCTCCTTGGTAGTTCCTTGAGAAAACCCCACACCCACCAACACTGGCAGGGCAAGCTACTGAACATAAACAGGGAGCAAACCGCACACTTACTAGCACTGATGATGTTACCTAGTCGGGTAATGAAATGTCTGCAAGCAAACCACCAAGGTCAGAGAGCACCAAGGACTCCATTTCTTTCTATCTATCATCTGTCTGTCTGTCTGTCTGTCTGTCTGTCTGTCTGTCTGTCTG